GCCCTTGGAAGTTTTGCAAACCAAGGGGTCCGTTCGAGCCACAAAAGTTGCGCTCGAGTGAACTGCCTTGTTTTCAAAATTTTGGCTAAGTGTTTCAAAGTATATTTTGGCATCATCATTGCATCTTAGGCATTCTTAAGCCTAAATTAAGATATAATAATGAGGATAAGGGTTAGAAACACACCAAGATAGAAAAGAAATGAGTTAAGTGTTTTCCGAGCATGTGTTTCAATGTGTATCCACTATGTGTTTGTGTGGGTCATGCACCATAGACTGTCTGATCCGTCTGTTCTGACTGTTTTGCAATAGGAGCTGTATCTGTGAGTAATAACTCTGTAAAGTTATGTTTGACTTTAATTATTTTCTAAGGATATGTAATGATCTGTTTTTTGAAATACTATTTTCTATATGGGTGAATGATTGTCCAGATTTCTAAAATGTATTCGTGGCATTCTTAACATCATGTGATATCTATTATCTACTTTATAAACGTATCATATAATCATGTGTCTACTGAACATCTTATGTAATCATGAGCCAACTGTACGTCCTATGTGATCATGGGTCAACTGTTATGGATCCTTATGAACGTCTTTGTGCACATGAGTCAACTATTCTGTTAACGCTAATGGATGTACCACGTATAAATATCTGTGAACTCTAAATCTGAATATGGACATGAATATGAATCTGTTTCTGATATAAATTCTAAACTTTGATTTTCGAATCTGTTACGGACATCATTCATTAAAACTTTTATTCTTTTATTATTCACTGGGTTCCAGTTCACCGTATTATTAATGTATGTAGATGATCAGGCGCGTGACCAGGCTTAGTGATAATTTCCTGGAGATCAGTTTTGTCAACCAACCGTCGTGCCTCCCAATAAGGTTCTCGAGTTAAAGTGTGGTCGTGATTCTACAAACAAGTTTTAAGTTTTTATTTTCTTCTGTTTGTTTAAACAATTTTGTATACTCTATATTTAGGGCTAAGTCCCTTTGACTGTATCCGTGTTGGTGACGTAAAACTAATGTAAATATGATGTCACATATATTTATATATGCTTTAAATTTTCTATCTCATGTATGTCTGCACAGCTCTATGGACATTGTATTTGATATTTGCTTCCCCCAGCTCCTCTAATTTTGTTTAATTTGTTCAGAAGGCTTCGGTAATCCCAGAATTATTGACTGTTGACGATGCTGAACCTATAGGGATGGGTTTGGGTCGTGACACATTCCCTATTTTTCAACTACATGAGACATGTGAGATAGTATTGTCCCACCTATTAAGTTTTTCTCACATCATTGATTGAGAGTACTATATAAACAATGCTACATTAATACTCTTCGATTATTGAATAGTTATCTTTGATATGCACATTTTAAGTTTTGGATATGCTTATATATGTACTAGCGTTATAATTTCGCTATGCACAACTTAAAACATATGTTTATTAAGAATAATTTTTTTTTTTGTTTTTTTAGGATTGTCTTTGGAATCCAGAATGTAGTTTTAAATTAAAAAATGATAAAAAAATCTAAATGAATTATCAAGTATTCTAGATAATACTGACATGGATCACATCTACATGAGTATTATATAGAATATTTGGTATTTTTTATTTTATTATAATTATTTTTTATTTTTTATTTTATTTTTATTTTTTTGAGATCCCTAGTATTGTTCTTTTAGATTTTACACTTAAAAATGATTACACTAAGTCATAATAAATTTATTAAAAAACTTAAAGGGAAATAAATTTATAGTTATTGTTCAAAACTGGTTAATTATTATACATATGTTTAAATTGCATATAATAAGAAAGAACTATCAAGAAATGAAATTTTACTATAAATTTTTCATACCTAACATTAATCTATTTTTAGCTTATTCAATGTAAATATTCATCACAAAAATGACTAAGCGTTAGAGAAAATGTTAAGCTATGCATTCAAAGTTTGACTGATTAACACCAAATTTTCATAATTCTAGCATAGCTCAGCTCGACTTGTTTTGAAATTAATAACTTAATACAATATTTTTTCATGTACTATAAGGTAGAATTAGGGGGATTTTTTTTAAGGTCCCTGGTATTACGATTTTATAACATAAAGGACACCCAATATTTTCATAATGTCTAAGGTCCCTCATCATCGATCCAGAGAAAATTCGATCTAAAGAATTTCTTTGGAAGAATTTTCTCTGGACTTCATGGGGAAATTCTGGTTCACAGAGAATTTCTCTGGACAAATTTTCTCTGGACTTCACAAAAAATTTTCATTCCAAACCAGAGAATTTTTGTGGTCCAAATCAGAGAAATTCAATCCAACTCAGAGAATTTCTGTGGTCCAAACCAAAGAAATTCAATCAAAATCATAGAAAATTCTTACCTGATCCAGAGAAAATTCAAAGCACTCTACAGAAATTCAAAATTTCTCCGATTTGTTCTTACCTGATCTGGAGTTATAGCTGCGTTTGTTTCTTTTTTCTTTGAGTTGTTGTTGACTCAAGTGAGATCATAGGTGGCTAGTTTAGAACAGACTTGACTCTAGAGAAATTCAAAATTTCTTTGCTTTCTCTGATTCAAAATTTCTCTGGACTAGAATTCTCAGAGAAATTCAACAGACTTGATCATCTTCAAACAATTTCTCCACGAGCACTTCTCTACAGCCCCATAGCAATTCACTAACTAATTACCAATAAAAGTGATATGGAACTATCATAGCAGGTTCCAAATTGTTGACAAACCAGTAGATGAGATCATAAGTGGCTAGTTTAGAACAGACTTAACTCCAGAGAAATTCAAAATTTCTCTAGACTAGACTTCTCAGAGAAATTCAACAGACTTGATCATCTTCAAACAATCTCTCCACGAGCACTTCTCTAAGGTCCCTCAAATCAAACCAGAGAAAATTCAACCAGAGAAATTCTCTGGTCCAAACCAGATAAAATTCAACTAGACAAACCGGAGAAAACTCAATTCAACAATTATAGACTTGTAACAAACTTGGTCTCTGTGAGGAATTTTGTCGAACACTTTACTAGCATTATCTGGAAGTCGAGTTTTGGAATAGAAATTGATAAGCAACGAGGCGGTGAGGTGTTGGGAAGATAGAGAGAGCTTGAGAGAAAAAGTGTGGAGTTGGAGGTCGAAAAAAGAGAGAAGAGAGGGAAGAGCAGGCCTTGAAGAGGGTGGCTAGGGTTCGGTGGTTACCTAAATGGCCTAATCTCAGCATTTTTGACTAGACCCAGAAGCTGCCTCATACACAGCTCTTGATGATTGTCCTTGGAGATCTCAACCGGAGTCTGAAGATCGGGCCTAGAATTGAAGTACTCAAAAACGCTCTCTTGTATGTCCCTGTGCTTCCCTCTCATGTAGTCAGAAAATTGTTGGGTGCTCACGCTTAGCTTCGTCTTGCTCACACACGATTGCAGCTCAAGAGTGTCAGTCACTTGACGGTCAGGATGATTCGGCGGTGGGTTTAGGTGCAAGGACAGCCGTTCGATTCGCCGAGAAATGGGTTGATCATCATTTTTAGCCGTCTGATTCAGATTGGGAGAATGAATTATAGGGCTCAAAGAGATCATTTGCAGTGGATTACGAGACTTCATTCTTCGATTCTTCGATGTGAGAGAGAGAGAGAGAGAGAGAGAGAGAGAGAGAGAAGTGTAAAAGGCATGATTGATCTGCACATCATGATGTTCTACGAAATTCTCCAATACAATCTAAAATAACATTGAGGGACCTTAGACATCAAAGAATATTATTGTGGGCCTCTCCTCCTACCAAAAGTTGGGCAGGAATTTTAGACCAATTTTCCCTAGAATTAAGGTTAATTAACATATTAAGGCCCCGTTTGGGATAAAGGTTGAGGCTAAAATAGCTATATAGGACAAAATATGCTATTTTAGCTAAATAGGACAAAATGTCACATCCAACTCATAATCATTTCATTTTTTCTCTCACAAAAGTCAAAAAAACCAAAAAGTCTATCTCAAACGAGACTTTTTAGCCCCAAGCTCAAAAAGCCAAAAAATTAACCCACATCCCAAACGAACCCTAAGGCCAAATATGTAATTTTAATGAGCTTCGTTTTGCAAAAGGTAACTTCAAATAAAAAGATTATACTAACTACAAAATAAATATCAAATACAATGTTCATAACTTTTGATAATTTTATCAAGGATGATTAGAAATGCAATTGGCCCTATAAAATTCTTATACATTGTTATTATAATTTTTCTTAAATAATGTAAATGTGTAGAAATTTTAAAAAATTAGTTTGAAATTCTTTTTTATAATTTTTTTTTAATTGATCAATGGACAAATTTTAAAACATTTGAATGAATAAATGTGAGTTGTAAAGAATAATTTGATTTTTTTAACCATATAATGCATCTTGTATGAATCATCAATAATATATATATATATTATCTTGTGGTAAAGATTTAATTAAAAGTTATACTTTGAAAATGCAAATTAAATGTCAAGGTTATCCCAACAAATAGAGATATTGATACATATTATATTAATATTGTTTTGATTTTTAGCTTATAAATTTAAGAAAAATTGTAGATTAGTAGTGTTTTTACAAATATTTATAAATTCGTGAAATTTTTTGTAATTTTAATTATTAAAATTGATAAAATATACCATTAATTTGTAATTTTTTTAAAAAAACTAACACTGAAGTGCAATTTCTTCTAAAATTTAAAAATCTACTTGTTTCCATTGTCAAAAGTGCTGCAATTTAATAAAATTTGAAAAATGTTTTTATATTGATAAAAGGATAATAATTATTGAATTTGAAAGGTAGTAATTAAGAAATTTGAAATATATTACTATAATAATCAAGCATCCAATAATTATAATTAAAATGAAAGAGCCAATGATTTTATGACATCTGTAATTTTACATTTTGTTAATTCAAAATTTTAAAATAATTAGGGTAGGAGTTTTGACTTCATAGACCTATTAATGTTTTTGTTTTTATTATATAATAACAATAATAATAATAATAATATATCTTTTTGAAAAAAAAAAAAAAAAAAAACATACAAAATTTTGATACCCATAATTACAAATCTTTTTTCCATTAAATCTTAAAGTTATCACAGTTATCAAAATTTATGCCAACACTAAACAAATGAAAATAATAAATAAATCAAATCTTAAAAATATTGCAGATGATCAATAAGGGGCTTCTAAGTATATTAACGTTTTTAATGTAGGATTGGCACTCATGGAAAGGTGGAGTTGGGACAAAATGGAGTCATAAATATGGTGTGCTTTTCTACTCTTTCTTCTTTTTAAATTTTTTTGAGGCAGTTTGCTATATCACTACTGTTCATGGCACTGTGTTTTTTATGTAAAATAAGTTGTAACTTTGTTTTTAACATATGTTTGCCTAAATAAATTGAAAAAAATAAGATCAAATATACTAGTTTTTGCCGCATTTTTTTACTGTCCAGTCACAATGGAAGTTAGGCTCCACTGTGAGCATGCAATAAAAAAATAATAGAAAATGGTGCGTCTCTAAGAAGAATGCTAAATGAATTTGTGACAAAATTCATTTTATTTTTAAAAAAATCTAGAAATTCTCTAAATATTGATTTGTGATTATGTATCAATCTTAGACAGTAAATAACAAAATCAAACAATCAAGACAAATCGACATAACGATTTCACGTGGAATAGCCACAATTGGAGCGCCTCTAATTATGATAAAAAATCACGGACAAAAACCACAAAATAATCTACTAAGAAGACATAAAGGAATTACACAAGTATACTCTCAATTACCTAGCGAATCCAAGCCCAAATCGAATTGACCCCGATGTGTCTCTTCGGGGGCGCTGCCCCTCAACTCCGCTTGGGCATTGCCCCGGACTCGTTAAGGGGCACTGCCCCCTGGACCCTAGCGAGCTGACCGGGCAGCTCGATTCCCGACATAGTCAACGAAATGGCAAACATAAAAGAATGAACTTCTGGAACTTCTTTGCAAGGCACAATTCGGGTTGGATTCGTAACTAAAAACTCATAGCCTCACTAAAATAAAAGAACGAATAAAATTACAACTGAAAGGAATTTTGTCAAATGGGATTGCCAAGAACCAAAACCTAACAATCTCTCCCTTTGGCAATGCCGTGATAAAACACACTTAACAAATAAAATCCTAATCATCCCAACCCATTATAACCAACAAAAGCAAACTTCTTTCTCAAAGTCATGATCTGCAAAACAGCTATCAGTGCCACAATCTCCAAAACGACTATTAGTACCACAAGAGTATATGAAAAAGCAATAGACATATGACGAGATTATCTTGAAGCATGAGATGGAAATATAACAAGATGTAAATTGGAGATTTTAAGAACATGTAGCACGAATACATGAAATCCTAAGACATATGCACCCGCCAACATTACTTCCCTTTTTTGTCACGAATTGTCAAAGGAAAGCTCAATCAACAAAAGCAAGAGCATAAACCAAACAAGCAGGGACAAAAGGATGTAAAAATTAATAACCTGCGAGAAGAAATAAATAAGCAGTGGATATCAACATACAAACCAACTAATGCCAATCTCATTTACCAAACCAATCAATGTAAGTTCATGCTAAAAACACACGTAGCACTTAACAAACCAAACCCACCCTCTCTAAATGCAACCACAAACATTGAAAACAATGAACAAGAAGAAAATGACAAAAATAATATGGTAGAACAAGCAAGGATTTTCAGATTTCTATCGTAAAACATATAAGATTATCCAAGAAACACAATTACTTGAAAACACAATGTGCACAGTCTCTAGAAGATTCCTAATAAAAGAAAGTAATGCATTATGTGAAAAGCATAAATCCCATGATAAAAGTGTGTGTGTGACTCTTGGAGTTCGACAAACACTAGATTCAAAACCTAGTAGTGATCAGATAGCTGGACCTCAGGCAAGAGAATCTAAGCACAACTAAGGAAAGTCAAACCACTAGGAATCAAGGGGTATTTGTTGAGTAAAAGCAGAGGCTCTCCCTCAATCAATGAATCCTTTTTTTCTTTCTTTTGCACATTTCTTTCTTTTCTTTCTTTTGCACATTTTTTTTCTTTTCTTTTGCACATTCTTTTTTTCTCTTTTGCACTCATTGGTAGCTTTCACGCTCAAGAGTATGGAAACCGAACTAGAGAGGCATGGATACAATAAGGATGATTTGGTTGGTGACTCTGAGGTAGCATTTGCCTCATGCATTGACTACAAAGAACTGAGAGGAAAGCCATGGAGATGCAAAAAGATAGAAGGTGATTAAGAGACTCAACATCACCCATGATGTGCTAGTATAGGTCAATTCCTCTAGAAAAGCAAAAGACACAATGCTAGAAGTCCATAGTGAAAATTGATCACTGAGGCGGAAGACTCCGATATTTGCTAATCCAAGAGTGTGTACAGAATGAGACATACTAATAAAAGAACATACACTCTGAAATGAGTAATCACCAAAGAAAGCACACACATATTAACATGTAATGGATATTCTCATCAATTCCAATATACAACAAGAACTTCGCAAAATTTTCAAGCTCGCAAAACCATACTAAGAAAATCAATTCCAATCTAAGAGTGTGTACAGAATGAGACATACTAATCAAAGAACACATACTCTGAAATGAGTAATCACCACAGAAAGCACACACATATTAACATGTAATGGATATTCTCATCAATTCCAATATACAAAAAGAGTTTTGCAAAATTTTCAAGCTCGCAAAACCATACTAAGAATTTTTTTATTTTTTTATTTTTTTTAACAAAGCAAGACATAAAATGAAAAAGCAAGCACACACTAAATGAAACAAAAAGAAAGAAACACACAGAAACCCAAAAACAAAAAACAAAATGAATAAACAAATTAACACAAGTCCAGTTTTCTCACCCAAACCGCTTTAGTATTTGTAGACACCCCATTTTTGACCGACCTTAAGACTCAGACATCACCAGTTGAGCACTTGGTGATATTGCATAATGTGCTCGTTCAGAAGTTTCAGAGTCTTGGCTGCGAGCCCTGCCTCCGGACTTCCGAACCCTCTTCTGTGCCTTGCCTCGGTTTGCGAACCAAACTCGGTTTTCTCTGTTTCTTTTCCTGAGGGAAGGGAGAGGTCCCGTAGACCATCTCTCAGTGGCCGTAGGCTACGTTTTGTGGTCGTAGGCCATTTTGCCCATTTTGGAGCCCGGTTCTCGGTTTTCGGAGCCGTGAGGCCGTGTGCCTCGGTTCGGGACCGCTTAACCATCTCCATTTGCTCTGATTTTTGGCATACATCTTATTTGCTCCCTTTTGAGGGACACTGGGGTCTGAGAAACCCACTTCGTGGCCGAACGCCACTTTCGGTGCTTAACAGCCCATTTTCGGGACCCCGAACTGCGTGTTTTGGCCACCGAGCATTCGTTTTGCATCGGTTCTCGTTAATTTTTGGCAGGTACCTCTGTTTTATCACCAGGAAGGTCACTGGAGGGTGGGAGGCCAGCAATTATCTTAGCAACCAGTTATATTCCATTTTCGCCCCCCAGCGCCCGTTTTTCTCACTTCCGAGCCAATGTTGAACACCTTGGGGCCACTTTCT